TGTGAGAACGTTTGTTCTTGTTAAAAATATATTGATTTTCTTCAAAAATTGATGGTTTTTATGCGCAACATGAGTAGAAATCAAATGAATCCTCTTTCACTACAGAACCAACAAGAAGCTACCATTGGAAGATAACAAGAAAATTCCCGTGATTTCTTGCCTACACACAAAGTTGATCCTCCCATGGTGGATCTCATACCTAACAATGAATTGGAGGCTCTTCGTCTAGCCAATCAGCTCTCCTCTAGTAGAATGAGGAGTTACTGAATCTCCTTCAAAATCCCCAAAGGGTACAACCATCCCAATAACTTCCCCTTGAGAGGGAACAATAGCACAACAACCCCTTGAGAGACATAACCAAAAGAGATGAGGGCAGTCAAACTATGGGCAATGCCCATCGCCGAATTCATAGGAATGAGGACAATGAGGAAGTGCAAAGTCAAAACAAGGAAAATCAAAAGAATGAGCTTCCCCCATTTCAGCAGGAAAGGAAAGAACAATATTGGGCGCATTGCTTCAAAAACATCCAACAGGAGCTCTGGAAGACTCCTAAAGTGGGCAGTAAAGCTGGTCGAGTTCGATGTACAGTACCAACAAAGGGTAGCCATCAAAGCACAAGCCTTGGTGGCTTTCGTTTCCAAGCTCACACCAGCAGAGGAAGAAGACAATGGAACCTCGGCACCTCAGAAAGCCTCATCGGAAGCCCAACCAAGCGCATGGGCTCCTAGACCTGGCGCCCTGGGCATCCTGACACCAATAGTAGGGGCCTTGACGTCCCCTATGACCTCTAAGGCCCCCTTTTTCGCACCTCACTAGGAGCTTTACATGGATGGCTCTTTGACCAGCAAAGGAGGTGAAGCGAGCCTGATACTAATCAGCCCTGATGACATTCCACTCAAGTATGCCATAAAGCTTCATTTTACAGCTTCCAATAATGAAACAAAATATGAAGCCATCATCTCTACCTTAAGGTTGACAATTAAAAAGGAAGCCCAATACCTCATCACTTATAGTGACTCTTAGCTAATAGTCAACCAAGTAAAGGGCGAGTTCAAAGTAAAAAGAACTAAAATGCAGGAGTACCTTGCTATGGTGCAAACCTTGTTGGCTAAGTTCCACCACTTTCAAATCCATCATATCCCAAGAGAAGAAAATATTGTTGCAGATGCACTAGTCAGGCTCACATCATCCTCAGACGCCCCACTAGAACCAGCATTCATCGGTCACCAGCTTGAACCAAGCAAGCTAGAGTGGAAGCCACTAAAGTCAACTGCACATCGGTCAAGTCAAACTAGATGACCCTAATAAAGGCATACCTTAAGGAGGGTGCGTTGCCATATAACCTGCTGGAAGTCAAGAAGCTCAGGATGAGGACCTCCAAGTTCATTATCCTAGAGGGCATCCTGTACAAAAAGGGCTACTCCCTACCACTACTACATTGCCTCTCTCCAGAGGAAGCTAATTATGCCCTATGAGAGATCCATGAAGGAGTTTGTGAAAACCACTCTAGAGGACGCTCCCTAGCCCATAAAGTTCTCAGATAGGGTTATTTTTGGCTTAACATCGTTAAGGATGCACAAGAATTCTCCAAGAAATGCGACAAGTGCCAACGCTTCGTCATTGTGCCTAGGCAACCACCAGAAGAGCTAACAGTTATCACAAGTCCATGGCCTTTTCCAAACGAGTCATCGACATCTTAGGCCCCTTACCTCTGAGTAGGAGGCATTGCAAGTTCGTGGTGCTAGCCATCGACTATTTCACAAAGTGGATGGAGGTCGAGCCCTTAGCAAAGATTACAAACACAAAGGTCAAGGGCTTCATTTGGAAAAACTTAGTCTGCCGTTTTGGAGTACCGCATGCTATAGTCAGTGACAACGTCAAGCAATTCAACAACAGACTTCTGAACTCATTCTACGCCGACCTCCATATAAAACAACCTTATTCTAGCCTGGCGCACCCGCAAGCAAACAGACAAGCAGAGGTCACAGTCAGAACAGTACTGTGCAACCTAAAGACGAGGCGAGTAAGAGCAAAGATTCTGTGGGTAGACAAACTCCTGGGTGTATTATGGGCTTACCGAACGACGCCAAGAGCCCCAACTAGAGAAACTCCATTCTCACTTGCCTTTGGAACCGAAACAGTTATACCTATGGAGATTGGGATACATTCCCTAAGAGTCCAACTTCACGATCCCATCACCAATGAGGAAGGACTCCGTATCAACCTTGACTTGGTAGAGGAAGAAAGAGAAATGGTCATGGTCTGAAACGCGGAGTATAAGTGCCACATGGCAAGATACTATAGCTTGAAAGTGAAGCCTCATTCCTTCCTACCAGGAGACTTAGTTCTCAAGAAAGTAATTCTCGCCTCGAAGGATTCGCGGGAAGGGAAGCTGGACTAAACTGGGAAGGACCCTGCCTCATAACATAAATAGTGAGACCAGGAACCTACAAGATCCAGAATTCTGAAGGAAAAGTCTTAACCCATCCATGGAATATCGAACATTTGAAGAGGTACTATCAATAACATTTAAGAAGGGCAGAGATAATAAAGTTAAGGGGCTTGATTTTATTTTTTCTTGTACATTTTTTTGGGTTATTACCCACCATTGCTTAGTATGAGCAGTCATCAAATAAAAATTTCTAAAATTTACTTCAAAAAGTTTCTTGCATCCTTGCATTCTATTTCAAGTGAACATCAGCGGTAAAAAGTCACTTTTACAAAAGAAGGCTACACACTGCCTTTTTTACAAAAAGAAAAAAAAATCAAAAGTCCTATGCACTCTAACTGTTCTCATGGTTGTCATCCTCCTCCTCTTCATCCTCTGCATCGTCAGAGTCACCACCATCACCATCAGCATCATCAGGCGCCTCATACAACACAAATCCTGAAAAGTCAATATCAGGAAAAATAATAGAGATCTTTCCTCGAAGCTCCTTGTAGCCATCGATGAAGGCATCTGCAAGGCCACTCTCTGAATCAACCTCAGCCTCAGCCTTGGCGACCCTCTCATGAGCTAATCGAAAATCCGCCTTAGCCCGGGAAACTCTCTCGAGAACTGTCTTCAACTCTGCCTCTACTCTCAAGCGGGCAGCCTCACAATTTGTCTCGAGCTTAGCGGCCATCTCGCGGGTCTCCATAAGCTCCGCCTCAAGCTTAGTGGCCCTCTTATGGGTCACCATGAGCTCTGCTTTAGCCCTCGTGCAAGCAATCCCTCTAAGCACAACTCTCTCACGGGTCGCAACAAGCTCAGCTTGAGAAGCTTTACCATCAACTTTGAGCTCAGTAATCCTCCCTTGAGCAGCAAGAAACTCCCTTTTTATAGCTTCATGAGCGAGCCTTTCCCTCCTGATAGTTGAGCTTAGTTGGCTAAACTGGACAGCCCTCGAAAAAAGGCATGCAGAAACAGCTGAAACCTGAAGAGGATAAAAGAATGTCAGTACCTAGGGGAGAGACAAAAGTAAGGGAGAAAACATACCCTTACTTGGGCCAAGCCTTCCAAAGAAGTGTCAATAATACCCTCAGTGCCCGAGCATCAACCATACTGATGTCTATAGGAAACACAAATCTCCCAAGTCGATCCCTAACAATCTGTACGTCATCCAACATAGAGACAGTGTAAGTGGCTGCCCCTGTAGAAGTCCCCGAAGGAGGAGTCGATGAACAAGGGGCAAGAGGTATGGCTGCATGGGGCATCTCTAGAGTAGCGATGACCTCTGAAGGACTCACTGACTGGGAAGGCACCATAGGAGGCGTCATCTGAGAAGGGCTCGTCAAAGTGTCGGTCATCCTTGCCACCTTAGGAGGAGGAGTACTCCTAGTGGAATAACGGGACACCACCACTATCCTATCTACTACAAGAAGAATAAAGTGTTATCCTGAAGGGAAATTAAGTAAAGAAAGGGAATCCAAGTGAATATGCATACCTTCTCTCTTTAAAGAGGAACCACCAATCCTCGGTGAGGACACACCAACCCTAGCACTTTCGACACAGGAATCTCTAGCTCCACCCTCTTTAAGCATGATTGTCCCAAAGTCCTTCATAGGATGAGCCTTCATAGCTTGCAACTTTCATTCTTGGTCTTTGGAGAGCACCGGGGAGCCTGGAAGGAATGTGATGAGTACACATTTGCAAAAGGGCGAAAGAAAAAGAATAAGAGTGGGCATACAAATTCTCTTGGGAGTGTTCCATCTTGCTAGTACCAAAACTCTATTAGCCTCTAAAGCCCATTCTCCTCGAACAAACATAAAGCGAGCCTTCTAACTATGACAATTAGAGCGCAATCCGATAATCAATTTACCTCCCCTCGAAGTGAAGTAGTACCAGTCACGAGTGGGAGCAGGTATCTCACCCAAAGTATAAGTTGTACAAAACTCTTCTGGAGAAGCATCCTCATGATGCACCTTTCTCTATAGTGCTAGAAATCCCAACAAAACTCTCCAACCGTTAGGCGCCAACCGCCCTGGCGTAAGTGAAAAACAGTGAAGAATGTGACAAATAGAAGAAGGTAATGAGAACCTCAGCCCCGCCTCAAGTAACTCCTCATAAGTGGCAATATATCCAGAGGAGTCATCACAAGCAAGCTCACCCATTTTAGTTCGATGACACAACACTATTGGGAGAATATTATAAACGGATACAATCCGCAAAACACCAGCATCAGTATTGAGGGTATTAGAAATGGTACTTACTTTCAACCCATCGTCATCAAGAACTACCTTTCCTCGATGTTTGTTGTGAGAAACATTACCCGAGCCACTATCACGGGAACCTTGAGGGATCTGACTCCGTGGAGTTCCACCTAAGCGAGCCATATCATCTGTCGTTTTACCAGAATCATCGCCACCAAAAATACCCGATGAACTCTCTGCTTGCAACGATCCATGCTTGGTGTCCACCTCCACCACACCTGGCTCACCCAATGATGACAACTCAGCTGCACGTGACACTGCCTGAACGGGCCTAGGCCTTGAAGTGCTGGCCCGATCGGCACCCAGTAATGTTGCGCCTAACACGTCGTCTCGACCATCATCGGCGCTGGCGTCCTCGCCTACTTGAGCTCCTACGACCTCCCTTGAGATGTCCTCTCCATGGTTGGCTCACCTATGTGCCCAAACCTATAGCACCTCATCCTCTTGGGCCACCACACCGGGAAGCGCACAAGGAGTCTCGTTGTCGGTGGTGCCTAAGGCGTGCACGTCCGATTGCATTAAGCGCTTAACGACACCTTCCATCTTTGCCCCAGCTCACCTCATCAACCCCGACTTACCTCCACGGTTTGCATCCAGCACCCCTGGCGCCTTCCTCTCAACGGCACCCATGGTGCTGTGCCCTGGCGCTGTCGCCCATCTTCTGCAGCTTGGATTGCCTCATCAGGCAGCGCCCAAGGCGCTTCATCTTCATCAACCTAGGTCACCACTCCACCCATGCCTCCTCTTTCTGTCAACACCACACCAGCGAGCTCCTGACCGCTTGCCTCAGCACCAATTGCTCCATCGCCATGGATACCGGTGGATCTTCACATCTCTTCTCCTTCACTTAACATCATCCCTAAGCACAAAACTTCGAATGGGATCACAAATCCTCCCTCTTGCTTTTGTTCTTGAAAACCTCACTAGAAGCGCTATCTCAAAATGAATAAAATGAGGAAAAAGGAAGAAACTCCCAATTTATAGCCTAGGGTTTTTTGAAGTTCTAATAGAAAATAAATGGGGGAAGCTTATATAGTTAGAGATGTTCTGCAGAGGTGAACTATATCCGAAAGAGGTTGTCAATTAGAGGGATTCTCTGTCAGAGAGAATTCAAATTTATCCAAATACCCTCTTCTCCAAGTTTCATTAGACACAAGACATTGGGGGGCAAATAATGTGTCAGGCCCAAGGGCCCAACTCAAGTTATAAGCCCAGTTAGAATTAAGAGTCCAACTAGAAAAGATCCAATGGGTCCAGCCCAAAAGAGGTCCACGACCAGTCAAACTCATCAGTTTCGGGGAGCTACATCACTAAGGGGCAGGAAGTGCTATCCTATGAGCCTCATCCACACCGCCTTGAAAATAGTCAACCACCACATCATCCTTTAACCTAATCTTAAGGGGAGCTTTGCAACTACCTCACCATTGAGAATATAGCGCCAGCTCCACTAGATTAGCTACTTAGTTACTGAAATGACACTTCAGTCTGTTAAGAGGCACTATAAATTGTAAGTTCCACCAATACTTAGGAGGCATCAAACATATGTGCTAAGGTTCTCATCTCTCTCTCTCATAGCTTGTACCTCCATTACTATCCCCTAATCTCCTTACACTCCTCGAAGTAATAAAACACCAGAACATCCTAGCCCTTTATATTGGAGTAGGTCACGTCGATCGAACCACTCTACATCTTTGTTTTGATTGTGTTATTCTTATCTCTCTCTCTCATAGCTTGTATCTCCATTACTATATTAATTATTAAACACTAGATAGGTGGTACATAAAAACCAATTTGTGCATCATCAAAGTTAACTCTGGTTAAGAACTCTACTTTATTAAAAAAAAATCTTGCCTATTGATATAATTTTTTTTTCTCGTGTTACTTATCGGATATGTATTAAAAAGAATCTTGCCTGTTGATATAAATTTTTTTTAAGTGTTACTTATCAGATAGGCTAAAGAAAATTGGAGAAAATGTGTAACAGGGGATTTGAATCCAATGAAAAGGTATGCAGGAAAAGATTGCTCTCCATTACGGATGGAATTGCCTAATGGAGAGCAATCTTCTGAGCTACTTCAAGCTCAAGCTAACATATGGAACTAAATATTCAATTTCATAAACTCTGTGTCACTTAAATGTCCAATTCAACTAGGCATACCAGATGCCAACCATAGCCATGGCCAAACTATGACCCTATACGAGTTGGTAGATGCTATTCCAATCCACCACACAAAAGCTCAGTTCATATATCATCTGATGCGCATCCTGATTCACTCTGGCTTTTTTGTCAGGCAAAAGATCTTGGAAAGTGATGAAGAAGGAGGTTATTTGCCCACATTGGGGCTCATGCTAAAGGATGAGCCCTTTAGCGTGACACCCCTTTTGCTAGCCATGCTTGATCTGATTATGACAAAGCCATGGCACCATGTGAGTGAGTGGTTCCAAAATGACGAGCCCACACCATTTTATATGACTCATGGGAGGACACCTTGGGACTATACATGCCATGAACCAAAGCTCAACCATTTGATTAATGATGTCATGTCTAGTGATGCCTGATTGGTCACTAACGTGGTGGTTAGAGATTGTAGGAGGTGTTCGAGGGGTTCAATTCCCGCATGGACGTTGGCGGTGGCACAGGGACAATTGCCAAGGCCATCGTCAATGCATTTGCACACTTGAAGTGCATCATGTTTGATCTCCCACATGTTGTGGTTGACCTCAAAGGGACTAAGAACTTCAGCTATGATGGAGGAGACACTATTCCTCCTGCAGATGTGGTTTTACTAAAGGTATGCAGTGAGTTCCTAACCACTTATGCATTCAACAAACCAAAATACCATACCAAACACATTTGGTTGTCCAAATGGTGTGACATGCTCATACATTAGTAAGATGTTTTTAAGTAATTTTAGACTGACCAAAAAACAAGATCAAAAATAAGGATCACATAATGTGACACTGACCAGCGACAAAATATTTGAATTTTAAATTAATAAAAGCAAGATGAAAACACCACCATATTAATGTCACATCATCATGTCTTTACATTTTATTCTATTTTTTATTAGTCTAGCATTTTATAATTTTTTTGGCCCCCATATTTATGGGGTGTAAATGTGCCAAATCATTTGGCAGTCAAATTTGGTCTCAAAATTTGATTAAACTAGCAAAACTCTTCAACAAATCATATGCTTATTTTTGCTTCAGTTTTGGTTGCTTCTCTACAATTTGGAATCATTAATTTTGCTTGTCTTTCCTCTCATGAATAGATTTTACATCTTCAATTTCCCTTTCTATTTCCTCTTATAGTAGACTTAACACATAGTCATACAAAAGAAAATCTTCGTCTTCAGTTACAAGTACTAAGATTTTTTACAGGCAAATATGTGGTTATTTTCTTTTTGTTTTTTTCTTAGACATTGTTGTCATGAATTGAATAATTGATATTGTGAATGAAAAACAGTGGATCTTACATGACTGGAGCGATGAAGAGAGCTTGAGTATACTAAAGAAATGTAGAGAGGCGATCCCAAGCAAAGATAAAGGAGGAAAGGTTGTAATCATCGGCATGATTGTGCAAAATAAAAAAGGAGATGACGAGTCAATTGAAACACAACTCTTTTTTGACATGTTGATGATGATTTTGGTGACCAGTAGAGAGAGAAATGAGAAAGAGTGGGAAAAACTCTTCTTTGATGCTTGCTTTAGTGACTATAAAATAACTCTTGCTTTGGGCTTGAGGTCTGTTATTGAGGTCTATCCTTGATGACATCTTGAGTGGATTTATAATACATAATAGCTAGTGCAAGATGTTACTATGTTACTTTTAGAAGAAGATCTTAATGTTAGAATTTGTGACAAGTATTGGCAAGCAAGGAAAACTCTAGTTGATGATGTATGAATGTAAGAGCCCCTGAGTTTATGAGTATTCGAACAATCCCATAATGGGGTTTGGGAAAGAAACAATGGGTTTATATACAAAAAATGAAACAAACCACTCTAAACTTGAGTTTTAACTTTTTTGTTCAATTTATATTCAATTATATAGGATTCTAGATTCTAACCATGATTTTTTTTTTTTTTTTGCTACCTTATATGCTAAAGATTCATTTATGTTAACTTCTGTTGTTTATTTTATAAAAAACGATCACATTGACTTTGACGGACTGAGTAATTGAAATTAACAGAAGGGCTACATTCACTTTTAATACAAAAATGAAAATTTTAATTTTTGAGGGTATAATGTAAATTTTTTTAAATCTTTCAGTGTATAGAATAAAATTCATCTAAACCAAGTCCTCTAAGCTTGAGCTAAAGCTTTTAGTATATTTGGTTGTTTTTGATGACGATATAGTAAAGGTTATACGTTTAAATCTCGCCCATTCACATTACCAAATTCTAAATTCAACATAGTCTGAATTTGATGATGTGGACATATTCTCACCTGTTTAAAAATTGGAGAGGAGCCTTGATTCACGAGGCTATCAGCATTCAGCACTTTTTTTGCTAGTATTAGCATTCTCTTTCTAGACATAAAACAGAGTTATTTATATAATATTACTTTTATGTTTGAAGTTAAATTTTCAAAATATGAAAATACAATAACAGTTAAGATTGATCAAGTTTTTATCAGTTTTAATCGAATTGTACGAAATTCATTACAAATTTTTTTTTCCCGCTCAATAATCATTGACATAGTGGTGTAAAGCCAGAAAGAAAATGACGTGCCAATCAAAAGACAACTGTTCCTTCGTATGCAGATGATGGTTTATGTCACAGGCAGAGAGAAAGAAATAAGAAATAGTGGGCAAAGCTCTACTTTGATTCTGTCTTCAATGACTACAAGATAACTCCTAATGGGCTCGAGGTCTCTTGTTGAGGATTATCCTTGATTATATCTTTCAAATGTGTGCTTGAATAAGATCATTAAGATAGGCAGTGTTAGTATATTTATATTGAACTTGTCTGAATATTATTAAACATCAGTACGTTGTGTAAGATTAGTATGTTCCTTGTGAAGAAAATGGTTTGTTATTGTGTTGAAATGAAATGAACTTTTACCCGCACCGCACTCAAACTAGGGGCACGAATAAAGTTTACATATCTTGAGTTCGAGTTTTCTTAATCATTTTTAACCATTTTTCAAGATTTACAAGTGATTGCATTCAAAGTTTTCATTGCATCATGGGGTCCAACAAAGCGCGTGATTGAGACTTTCCCTATCTATATAATAAAGTAGTTTACAATTCAAATTTCAAAAAATAAACAAATTGACTTTTATTATTTGCGGTTGAGATCGCTTTAAATTTTATTTTAAAGTTAATCTAACGGCTAATATTAACGCCATAAATTTAATAGGAAAAATAAGCCCCTAAGGGTGTGTTTGAAGTGATTTTTTAAAAGTGTTTTTAGGAATTATTTTTCATAAGTGTTTTAAAAAAAATAGCATTTGAAACCGCCTCACCACTACCTCTATCACCACCACCACTCCCTCTACCACCACAGCAGCCACCACAACCACTGTTGTCATCATCGCCACCGTCGTCGTCGCTGCTAGCCCACCGTCGCCACCACCACTATCGTTATCGCCGCCACCACCACCACCATTGTTGTCATCGCCGTCACCACTACCGCCACTATTGTCATTGCTATTGCCACCACAACCATTGTCGTCACCCCCACCACCACCACTCGCCACCACCACCATCGTCGCCGCCACCATGGTCATTGTCATCCACCACAACCATTACTGTCTCCTACCACCACTACTGCCGACCACCACCACCTCTCAACCCCACTATAACCGATGCTTAAATTCATTTATCTCTCCTTTATGTTTGTAATTTGAATTTAAATATAAATAAAAATATGTTTATTATTTATTATTTTTCATTACTCTTTGCCTTCAAGCATAAACAATAACTAGTTAAAAAATACTGAAAAAATGTTACTACTTATGAAAATATCTTGCAATCAACCTAAGACTGATCCATAAAATCTCTCGAATGTCCTCCAAAATAGAAATGAGGTTAGAGGGACCCGCGCCGCAATTGTACGAAATTCATTTCAAGTGCCTTTATATAGTGTTGTATTCATTAATCTTGAAAGGCAGGGATTGACCTTTTTGGATTAGATGGGTTGACTGCTAAAGTCGCAATTCTAACAAGCAAGGGCGCAACACAAGAGTTAGGCCTTTTGAAACAAGTTTTTTGTGACGAAAATGTTCACTGTCATAAAAAAAATTTGTTTTGAAGATTTTTTTTTTTTTTGCAAATAATGTTATTATAAAAAGTTTATTTATAGCCAAAAATACTATTTGAGTCAGACTATTGTTGTCATAAAGACTTTTTTAAGACCTCACTTATTATGTACATAATACGTAGAGTTTAGAAAAATTTTTGTGGTAGCAACAATCGTCTCAAATAGTATTTTAGATAATAAATAAATTTTTTATAACAGCACCACAAAAAATATATATATATATATATCCAAAACAAGCTTTTTTATGACGGTGAACACTGTCGCCACAAAAAATTTGTCTCAAATAACCCTAATTTTAGTGGTGGCGTGCCTAGGTTTTGCAGCAAAATATATATAAAAAAAAACTTATCATGTCACATAAAAGAAGAAAAGTAGGGCTATTATATAAATTTTATAAATTAAAAGGGCAAAAATCAGCAGAACACTACTAACTTCAAGGACAAGCTATTTTGGACCTAAAGAGATGTGTCTACATTATAGATGTGACCTAATTGACCTAGACAAAACTATTTTTAGAGCTCGGAATCATCCAATTGTTGAAGTCGTCCTCACCTCCTGCTGCGAAAATATTCAATGCAGCAGTGACATTATCTCATCGTTGTCACGTGGTATGATCAATCAATTAGAAGATTACAACTAAACAAAGTGAATTTTTCTAATCTTATGTATTGATAATTTGATATGGGGGTCACAGGTAGTTACAAAAATAAAGGGATCCACTTTGCCTACTTATAGTCTTCTAATTGATTGGTGACACTATGTGGAAGTAATGATATGGTGTCACCGTTACATCCCATATTTTTTCTCTCGAATGGATTTGATTTCTTCTTTGACCTTATCCTCTTTGAATCCTCAAGCACAAATTTGAAGTTGTCAACCTATGGTCCTAGATTTAACACTGCTTAAATGATTCGATTATATGTGGAAGCACCACTCTAACAAGTCATATCTTTTATTTTGGTAAATATTAGAATAACTAGAATGTGAATTCCTTATGTATTTGATGTTTGATACAATTGTCGTTGTAATTATATGCAGGAAAACATGGTCATATAAACCCAAGAAAATCAATGGGTCTTTGGTTCAATGGTACTCTTTACCTTGTAAAAAGTTTTACCTTCTTGAAATCAAGGGTTTAAACCTCATTCCCTTTACTCTTTGACCTTATGCTCTTTGCAAGAAAGTTCTTGCAATGCACTTTCTAATTTCTATATGGTACCTTAGCTAACAATGTACATAGTTGAAATGTTGGAGACATTGGTCGTGGTAGGTGAATTAGATAGACGAAGGTTAAGATGACATCTACTCAGAACTTTCAAGGAATAGAGGCAAAAAGTGCATGAGCTTGAGTTGTTTTAAAAATTTTGCAATACTTTCACTCAGCTACTTCGTTATGTTCGGATGTATGTGGGCAAGAATGCCAAAAATTCAATGGGAATCTTGAGAGACTATGTCTTCATCCATAGGATTTCAAGTACTTGGATCAATCGAACGTATGATTTTATCTAAACTACTCAGTTTCAAATTATATCCACATTGCTCACAAATATTCAATTTTGAATTAATTATTTTTAAATTTAATCCATAACAATATTGGAATTGGGAACAATGCTATGCATGTGATGTTTTACCTAGCTGAATCTTTGTGTACGTCATAAGATCCAGCAAGTGGAAATTGGTTGCCTATTTTGTATAACATATGGTCCCATATTTTAATTATAAATTATTTTTTGGGTTAGTGGTTGTATTCTGTCGTGTGGCATGTGGTTGCAGATAATTTGTATTATTTTGCAACTTATGACACCCGTGGTGCCATGCCTAATGATTATCTTGGTTCTTCTCATTGTATTGCATTAGCCGTAATATTTGACACGACACGGACTCGACATGAAATTTGTGGAATAGGATTGAGTAGTTCTTCACTTAAATCCAACAATAACACGATCAACTAAAACGAATATAAACATGATATGTTAGTGACAAACACGAATAATTTGTTTGAAACACAATAAATCCGTTTAACTTGTGTTTTACGAAAAAAATATCTGATTTTTTTTTTAATTTCTTAAGCAAGTATTGTATGAATCTTTGAAAAAATTTTAGTTTTTTTTTTTTTTTACTTAGTTTGGCTAACATAAAGATTAAGGAGAATTTTAGTTTGAGAGAGTAAAAATTTCTACTCTTGGATTTTTGTGTCAACTCGAACATGACATCATTAATAAATAATTTGGATTAATATTGTATGATATAGCATAATAAAAAATTAATTAGTACTCGACACGAAGAAATAACACGATAAATCTCCATCGACTAGCCTATATAATCAAATTAAGAGATCTCAATAAAGAGAGTACGGTACGCCAACAGAGATGTGACATTTGTCCATTTGTGGAATTAATTATACTTTCTTTTTGGAAAGAAATAACAAGTCCAAAGATAGCTATTTGATCAAAGCAAAAAAATGTGGTATAATTTCCAATTGTGAGGGTTATTGTCACCTTTATCAAAAAAATGTGGTATAATTCCCAACTGTGAAGTTTATTGGCACCTTTTATCAATAAACAATTGTGGTATAGTTTCAAAATGTGTAGCTTATTGTCACATTTTTACTTTCTTTTGGAAAAGATCCATCAATTGTACAAGCAAGAACAACTGCTATTGGTTAATACAAATTTGTTGGTCAAGGAATGAAGTTTGAACAATTATTTATGAATCACATCAAAAGTTTCTAGTCAACAAACACCATCCAAAACAATTGTCGTCAAAGTGGACATGAATACATTAGAAAAATTAGTGTACCATTTAATAATATTTTATTAAATTATTGCTTGTAAACAATAAGATAATTTCATCCAAAAAATAAAAGTACGTGTAATTACTATTTTATAAAATTGATTTAGATGCATCTTTTGTATAAATAATAAACTAATATCTATCTAATATTACAATTAGGAAGCTGATTTCCCAGCTTTTTTTTTTTGAAATAATGGAGGACGGTACCACCAAGTTTATTAAGTAGCCTTTGATGATGCACAAAACAGGTTTATGCATGATCAATAGTCGAGTGTGTAATATAGTGTAATTAATGAGACAATTAATAGAATAATCAATGGCAAAAAAGTAAATATCAGGTCAACACACAGATATATACTAGATTAGTCTAGGTAACCTACTCCGCTCCAGGAAATAGCAACGGTGGCCGAAGAACCTTTATTAATAAAGTAAGGTGAGAGAGAGAGAGAGCAAATGTTAGATCCGGGAGAGATACAATAGCTGAGAGAGAAAAATCTCTGTGAGGGGTGTGTAAAGAGATATAGATATGTAAAGAGGTGCCCCTCCCATGTGGAGAAAACTTACAATTTATAGACATAGAGCCTTTATGTGAGGCGGTGACGTGAAGTAAATACATTAATTTCTCGGGAATGATAGCTACAAAAGGTAAGTACAATGTCTTGAACTTGAGAGTGAGTAATCCGATAATTGCTCCTCACGTACTCTAATATTCTTGGACTCCTTGAATCTTGGATTAGGTCGGATCAATGAATTGGACTTTACCTGTCTTATAGCTGATTTGGACTTATTTGATCAATTGAGCCTGATCCAATTGAATCTGGGCTCATCAACCCTCACTTGTGGCGGAGGAATATCGTGGTTACATAGCAGCGACTAAAACACAAAACTAAGAAATACAATCCAAATAACGACAAATCTAAAAACACAAAAAAAAAAAAAAATACTTTCTAATATATGCTATGCCAATTTTATCCATCCTTATTACTCCAGCTAATCGGCATGGTAAATCCTAATTTACCTCTCGGGAACTGATGATTGATGGTGCAGTCATATTCTAACAATAAAGTAATTAAATCCTCCTAATCTATACTACTAATAAAAGTGACTTAAGCTAAAAACTTGTGATTTCCTTATTTATCCTTTAATAGTTCTATAATATCTATAAGTGACTTAAGTAATAAACTTTTGATTTCTTTATTTATCTTTTAATAGTTCTATAATATCTATTTTATCATTTTTAAAGTGATTTAAGAGAAAAACTTTTGAATTTTTTATTTATTTTTTAAAAATTCTATAATATCTACTTTAACCTTTTTTGAGGAATTTTTTTATTTTTTATTTTTTTTATTAGTTGCATTAATTCAACTAATAAATTTATTGTTTGACTTTTAATTTTCTTCTTTTCACATAATATAAATTCAATCCAAATCTGATTTGAATAATGTGATCTGTTAAAATAAATATCCGTTGTGATTCGAAAAAGTATATTAGAGGCGATTTTAACATTTAGCACATGAATTTCTCCTCAATTTTATTAAATAATCACCAAATTATATCATATGTTTGTAGGTATGTAGTGCATATCCAAATTCGCTAAAAAACAAATATTTGAATATATCTAATAGTTTATATACTACTTTCGAGTCAATTCTTATCAAAAAAATTTCAGTGATAATATTATCCTTAAAAAGACAATAATAACCTATTGTAATAACTTCTTATTGGTCCGATAAATCAGTAGTCATCCAACTATTAATCACTTATTAAAGTTAAACATTATAATTTTTAAATTCAATGCAATTCAATTCATACAATCCAAAATAAGAGAAAAATCTTGAGCATAACAGTTAACCCACGTTAATAGTGTCACTTTGTATAACCATCCACTAACAACGAAACATGTGGACAAATGAGTCCCATAAAATCTAATAACTATTATGTAATATATAACCATCTTCGTATAACAAACATTGATCTAATTTATCTATTTAAAAAAAAGAGGTAAAATTAGTTGGCGTACAACGCATGCGTGCATTAACTAGTAGTCCCAAAGGTACGATATCGTATAATTACAAGACAGTACCATGTCTAATTTTTTGATATTAAGTTGTTTACAAATCTTCAAACCCGCAACTACCGAACTTAATTCTCAACTTATAAAAGAAAAAGAATGGACAAGATAGATTCAAAGTTTTATTTTCTTTGATTCAATATATTTTATTGTTGGCATACGTGCTAGTAAGCTTTCCAATTTCTATAAATAAAGCAATGTTTTTAGGCTTTACATGAATCATTGGGCATCTCAAGTTAGCTAACAGATGGAACTTCCTAATGGAGAGAAATCTGGTGACCTACTTGAACCTCAGGCTCACATATGGAACCAAATATTCAATTTCATAAACTCTATGTCACTTAAATGTGCAATTCAACTAGGCATACCAGATGCCATCCACAACCATGGCCGTCCTATGACCCTATCTGAGTTGGTAGATGCTCTTCCAACCCACGACGCAAAAGTCCAATTCATCAATCGCCTAATGCTCATCCTAATTCACTCTGGTTTATTTGTCAAGCAAAATATCTAGAAAAATGACGAAGGACGAGGTTATTTGCTCGCACCGGCCTCCCGGCTTCTTTTAAAGCATGAGCCGTTTAGCATGACACCTTTTTTGCTAGCCATGCTTGATCCCATTTTGACAAAGCCATGGCACCATGTGAGTGAGTGGTTCCAAAATGACGATCCCACGCCATTTCAAACGACTCATGGGAGGACACTTTGGGACTATGCCGGCCATGAACCAAAACTTAATCATTTCTTTAACGACGCCATGTCTAGTGATGCCCGGTTGGTCACTAGCGTGGTGGTTAGAGATTGAAAGGGGGTGTTCGAGGGGTTAAATTCCCTTGTGGACATTGGTGGTGGCATAGGGACGGTTGCCAGGGCCATCGCCGACGCATTCCCACACTTGAAGTGCATCGTGCTTGATCTCGCACATGTTGTGGGCAACTTCCAAGGGACTGAGAATTTGAGCCATGTTGGAGGAGACATGTTTGAGGCTATTCCTCTTGCTGATGCGATTTTACTAAAGATATGCAGTGAGTTTCTATTGAGAGAAAGTGAAGATCTCGCTCCCTGCACTAATTATGCATTAACAAACTAAAATATATAGTGACCAAATTTGACGATCCAAATGACGTGACACACTCATACATTAGTCATATGTTTTTAAATAATTCAAGATTAGCCAAACACCAAGACCAAAAATAATAATCACATGATGCGAAGCTAACATGTGAAACAAATTTTGAAATTTAAAATTAATAATAGCGAGATGAAAGCAGCACCATATTAATGTCACATCATCGGTTCTTTATTTTTTATCTTATTTTTCATTAGTCTAGCATTTTCTATCTTTTTTTTGGCCCCTTTCAATTGGGTGTAAAAGTGCCAAATCATTTGGGCTGCTAATTTTGGTCCCAAAATTTGATTAAACTAGCAAAACTCTTCAACAAATCATATGCTTATTTTTGCTTCAGTTTTGCTTCTCTACAATTTGGAGTCGTTAATTTTGCTTCTCTTTCCTCTTATGAGTAGACTCTATGTTTCAATTTCCCTTTCTCTTTCCTCTTATAGTAGACTTCATACATAATCGTACAAAAGGAAATCCTTGTTTTCAGTTAAAAGTACTAAGGTTTTTGGCAGGATTCTTTGGCCAAAAACAATGCATATTGCAACTCTGAAAAAAAAAAAACAATGCGTAGTATGTGTTAGATTTAAGTCCTAAACTTGATTTGCCAAACCATTCAATGGTTTTCAACCCGATTAGGGGTTAATTCCAGCCAAAAACAAGGATTGATCTCTTATGCATCTCTCTCTTATAAGGGTTGTATTGTACTCTTCTTTAGAGGTAATGTCGTGTTCTTCTTGTTGTTTGAGGTGTTCCAAAAATTATAAAATTACTTATTGATATTTCTAATATCATGTAACTTAAAATAAAATAAATAGTAAATGTAAACTGTAGAACCGTAACACAAATTAAAACAGTTATAGTAAACACGAAATAGTTACAACAAACAGATACACGCAACTCTATGTCAAATTAATATAAAAACTAACCTGGTTGCAGAACAAGAACTGTTATTGAACTCGTAGTAGATCAAGGCTAGTGTTTGACACTATGTCCTTAAGACAAGACAGACTTCGCCCCCACACACGGTGCTTATGGAATCCGAGCGTCTGCCTCCCAATATACAATGATCTTCCACAAACAGAAATAGCACTTCAATCTGTTTGTACAGCGAACCAAAACTTGTGTCGTATACTCTCCAAATGTATTACCTTAAAATGTCGAAATGTAATACACTTAATGCCGAAAACAGTCTGGTTATCTGAATAAATAAAACGAATGCATGACCTGGGTATTTATAGATGCATTGGTGACTTTCCGGACAATCACCTTACTAAAGAACACAACCCATAAACTAAAACCGACCCAGCCAGTAGACACTTTAAATAACTGTTCTTCATGAACAGTCACCTTACACTAAAAAACTGTTTTTGTTCTAACACTTCTTTCGGGCTTGTGATTCATTAATCTTTCCTTGTAATAATTTTATATGAGACTTTGTGATAATGATCAGTCGTTGATATCAAAAACAAAAAAAAAAAATGTGTTAGCAACAATTATTATGTTACCAAACAGTATTTTGATTAATATAATATTTTATTTGACACTCTAAACATAATATGATTATTTTTTTAGAAATGTAGAGAGGTGATCCAAAGCAAGGACAAAGGAGGAAAGATAATAATCACGGACATGATCATACAAAATCAAAAAGGAGATGACGAGTCAATTGAAACACAACTCTTTTTTGACATGTTGATGATGGTTAATATGAAAGGCAAAGGAAGAAATGAGAAAGAGTGGGCAAAATTCTTCTTTGAAGAGTGGATTTATATTATGATTATGTTGGAACGTGTGTGAACTTATGCAATAGAGTAACTAGTCTAAGATTGTTCTGTTACTTTTAGAAGAAGATCTCAATTTCAGAACTTGGGAGAGCCCTTTTCCCATGATCACCGTCTTGGAAAAAATTGCCGCCATTTCGTTGATCAGAGATCATGCCAAGTCGATCAATGTTCTGATACTAATTGACGCAGCGGTAACAAAGGGACAAAAAGAAATTATCGTCTCTAAATGTATAGAGCAAGAATACTTTGAATCCACAGACAAAACAAGAGAATAATTCTAGTAAAAAAAAAAGGTATATTATTCAATTGACAAACTCCTAGAACTTCTATTACATTGGATAATTTATAGGAAAACCCAAAACCCTAATATTTTCAAAATGGAAACCAATCCCTAATTCTAATATGGTTATCAAAAAGACAAAAAAAAGCACTTGTTGAATGAAATTTGAAAATTTGACATGGTTTAGGCAACGAATTACCGTAAATTATTCTAATTAAAGTTTCTACAAAAATAATAAAAAAAGACACAAAATATAATAATTACTACTTCTCGTTCTACCTCAAATTGGCACATAAACACCACATCATTTAACCCTTCTCTCGGTTTTATTTCTAAGCCAGGGTAACATTACTCTTACAGTGTTTCACTTAGGCGTGAGTCATGTGAGGTATGACTAAATATGATATAATGGGTAATGAGCCAGTTCTTGGATACATTTCTTAAACCACTAGCTGATCAAGGAGTTCAAGTTATTAACAGAGTATAATACAAGTAATCCTAAACTTCATCCAATAATTCGATTCTAACCCTTTTAATCATTATCCTCTTGGCCGAAGAGCAGTAGCCAACATATTTTATTGCTGGCATACGTGCTAGTATGCTTTCCAATTTCTATAAATAGGGCAATGTTTTTAGGCTTTACATGAATCATTGGACATCTCAAGCTAGCTAAGAGATGGAATTTCCTAATGGAGAGCACTCTCGTGAGCTACTTCAAGCTCAAGCTCACATATGGAACCAAATATTCAACTTCATAAACTCTATGTCACTTAAATGTGCAATTCAACTAGGCATACCAGATGTCATCCACAGCCATGGCCGTCCTATGACCCTATCTGAGTTGGTAGATGCTCTTCCAATCCATCACACAAAAGCCCAATTCATCTATCGCCTGATGTGCATCCTGATTCATTCTGGCTTTTTTGTCAGGCAAAAGATCTCAGAAAATGATGAAGAAGGAGGTTATTTGCTCACACTAGCCTCTCAGCTCCTCCTAAAGGATGAGCCCTTTAGCGTGACACCCCTTTTGCTAGCCATGCTTGATCCCATTTTGATAAATCCATGGCACCATGTGAGTGAGTGGTTCCAAAATGATGATCCCACGCCATTTCATACAACTCATCGGAGGACACTTTGGGACTACACATGCCATGAACCAAAGCTTAACCATTTGATTAATGATGCCATGTCTAGTGATGCCCGGTTGGTCACTAGCGTGGTGGCTAGAGATTGCAAGGGGATGTTCGAGGGATTCAATTCCCTCGTGGACGTTGGCGGTGGCATAGGGACAGTTGCCAAGGCCATCGCAGATAAATTCCCACATTTGAAATGCATCGTGTTTGATCTCCCACATGTTGTGGCCGACCTCGAAGGGACTGAGAACTTGAGCTATGTTGGAGGAGACATGTTTGAGGCTATTCCTCCTGCAGATGTTGTTTTTCTAAAGGTATGCATTGAGTTCCAATTGAGAGAAAGTGAAGACCTCCCTCCTAGAACTAATTATGCATTCAACACACCAAAATATTATACTCACCAAATTTGGCAATCCAAATGATGTGAGACACTCATACACTAAAAAAATGTTTTTAAGTTGAGACAGAACTATTTTGGCCCTTATTTGTAGGGGTGTAAATTGCCAAATCATTTGGACCCAAAAAACAAGCAAATCTCTTCAACAAATTATATGCTTATTTTTGCTTTAGTTTTGGTTGCTTCTATACAAGTTTGAATCGTTAATTTTGCTTCTTTTTCCTCTTATGAGTAGACTTTTACATCTTCAATGTTCCTTTATCTTTTCTCTTATATATAGTAGACTTAATACATAGTCGTACAAAAAAAAAATCTTCATTTTCAGTTACAAGGACTAAGGTGTTTTACGTGATTCTTTGGTCAAAATAATACATATTGCAACTAACCTGAAAAAACCATAGCATAATCCGTGTCAAATTTAAGACCTAAATTTGATTTTGCCAAACCGTTCAAGACCTAAATTTAATTTTTCATCCCGATCAGGGGTCAATTCAGGCCAAAAACAAGGATTGATCTCTTATGTGTCTCTTTCTTAAGGATTGTATTGTACTCTTCTTTAGAGGTAACTTCATGTTCTTCTTTTGGGCTTGTGATTCATTAATCTTTACTTATAATAATGTTACATGAGTCATGTGATACTGATCAGTAGTTGATATCAAAAACAAAAAAATCCCTAAATGTGTTAGCAACAGTAATTATGTCACCAAACACTATTTTAATTAATATATATTTCCTTTCACACTCTCAACCTAATATGATTAATTTTGTCTCTTAAATGAGTAGACTTTACATCTTCCATTTCCCTTTTTCTTTCCTCTTAAAGTTGACATACAAAAGAAAATCCTCGTTTTCGTTTATAAGTACAAAGATTTTCTAGTGAGTTTTTTACTAGTCTAAAATTGTGGCAAGGATTCTTTGGTCAAAAAACAATGCATCTAGCAACTCACTTGAAAAAAAAAATGCACAATATATATGTGTCAGATCTAAGACCTACTTTAGATTTTGCCAAACTTTTAATGGTTTTCAACCCGACCAAGCATTGATCCGGCAAAAAACAAGGATTGATCTCTTATGCATCTCTCTTTAGGTGTTGTATTGTACTCCTCTTTGGAGGTTATGCATTATTCTTCTACTATTTAGTATGTCACCAAACAATATTTCGATTAATATAATATTTCCTTTACCACTCTCAAACTCTATCTTAAAAATGTTAATTAAGAATGTACCTCTCAAATATAATTAATTTTGTCTCCTGAAAAGTCAAAGAAGGGAAAGATGATAGTGTATCATTTACATAGACAAAGATAAATAAATCAGTAAATAAATTATTTAAATAGCCTAATAAAGGTTACACTATCAATTAGAATAGGACAAGGATACTAGTGGCAATGCAATAATTTAGCTGGCAAACGTGTGGTTATTTTCTTTCGATTTTTTTCTTGGACATTATTGTCACGAATTGAATAAAAGTTTTGTGAATGATAAACAGTGGATCTTACATGATTGGAGCGATGAAGAGAGCCTGAGGATACTAAAGAAATGTAGAGAGGCAATCCCAAGTAAGGACAAGGGAGGAAAGGTTATAATCATCGAAATGATTATGCAAAATCAAAAAGGAGATGACAAATCGATTGAAACACAACTCTTTTTTGACATGTTGATGATGGCTGTCGTGACAGGTAGGGAGAGAAATGAGAAAGAGTGGGCAAAACTCTTCTTTGATGCTGGCTTTAGTGACTATAAAATTACTCCTATTTTAGGCTTGAGGTCTGTTATTGAGATCTATCCTTGATTATATCTAGCTCGTCTCTGCTTCAATAAGAGCTATATTGAAGAGTGGATTTATATTACTATTATGCTGGAACATGTGTGAACTTATGTAATAAAGAGTAACTAGTGTAATTTTGCTGGAACATGTGTGAACTTATGTAATAAAGTGTAACTAGTGTAAGATTGCAATGTTACTTTTAGAAGAACTCAATTTTTGAACTTTTAACAAGTATAGCAAAAAGGAAAACTCTAGTTGATGTATGAATGGAAAAGCCCCTGAATTTATGAGTGTTCGAAGAATCCCATATCGGTTTGAGAAAGTAAAAATGTCTTTAGAGCATTTTCATCTATGACTCAAATTTTGACTTAAAATTGAGCCTANAGAGCCCCTGAATTTATGAGTGTTCGAACAATCCCATAACGGTTTGAGAAAGTAACAATGTCTTTAGAGCATTTTCATCTATGACTCAAATTTTGACTTAAAATTGAGCCTAAATTTGAGTAAGCAACTTGATTTGGTATAGAACACTCTAATGGGTAAATTCAAATCTTTTAAAAAATTCTCTTACTGTTCCAAAGCTCATTTTTTTAATTTTTTCAACCAAAATATTTTATCATCTCTCATTTTCTTGTCTTTATTCCCTCCCTAATATTAAAACTTGTTTTTTTACAAACTTCACCAATATTAACCAAAAGAAAAATTAGGAATAACAACTTCTTTGAGTGATAGATTCATGAGCTTTTTACTATATAAAGCAAGGGGATTTTTTAAAGTATTAACTCAATATTAACTAACAGTATTTTCTATCTTCAATTCTATCTAAAGCAATTTCATATGAGAGAGAGAGAGATTTTTGGAGAATTAGAGTTTATGAGAGAGAAAAAAAGGTAGAGAGATAGTAAAAGTTACCCTCAAGGAATATAGACAGGGGAGAGACAGTGTGGTCGACGATGATGGCAACGATTTTGAAGATAAAGGCAGGAGTGACAAGAATTTGTTATGTCCAAAGTGTCTTTTGAGTTTGGATATGATAAAAAGTTACTGTTGAAAATTTTGATATAGGGTTTGTGTCTCTTTCAATTTGGGTACAAGATAAGTTTTTTTGTTGATTTGACATAAGTTTGAGTCTAAGGTTAGAGAAGTTTTTTTTAGGTCATTTTAACTTGAATTTAAATATGAGTCTTGATTTGAGTCCGAGCTAGAGGTGTTCTTACGTACAAAAATCGGAACAAATCACTCTCAACTTGAGTTTAACATTTTTGTTCAATTTATATTCGGTTGTATAGGAATCTAGATTCTAACCATGATTTATTTTTGCCACCCTATACGGAAAAAATTTGTACATGAAATAAGGTAACTTGCATTTTTGTATCCTAAAAGATTTAAGAATTCTTACTTTACACCCTCAAAAACTAGATTTTTTATAGTGCATCCTCAATGTATTATAAGTGTTGCAATGTGGCCCTTTCGTTAGTTTTCATTAATTATTCCGTCAACGTCAATAGGGTGAGTTTTGACGGAATAAAAAGCGAAAACTAACAGAAAAATCGCATTGCAACCCTTCTAATATATTGAAGCTGCAATATAATAAATCTAATCTTTGAGAGTGCTAAATGAGAAATCTAAAATCTATCAGGAAGCAAAGTGAGATTCTCCCTTTGAAATAATAGGACTCACATTTGAAGTGGAATGTTAGAAATCCAGACCTGGGAAAAATAAAGGAGTCCCGCATCAGTTCGGGAGAGATACTAATATAACATTATGAGTAATGTTATTGGGACCAAAAACACTAACCTAATGATGCTTATAATGACATGGTCCAATAGTCTTATTACGACTATATCTTTCTCATATTTGCTTGAATAAGAATATAAGATAGACGGTTATCTGGAAAATGGGTAGAAGGGACGGTGAGAACTGATTTTGCATCAACAGAGAGGGTTGGGTTAGAATACTAAATGCAAAAGAGCAGAGGCCTTTTCTATGATAAGAACGGGGCCTAATATTTTGGTACAATCTAAGAAAATTTTTGCCAAAATTGAAGGTGAGTCCTTAGATAGACTTATAAAGACTTAAGTCCTGTAAGAAAACTTATTTAAAGATAAGTACATGTTTAAACTTATATATAGGTACTTAAATTCACTTATTTTTAAAATCTCAAAATTATCCCTAACGATATTAGTTTTGCCTAGTTATGAAAAATCACATAAGTTAGATCATTGAGATATATATATATATATATATGAAAACTCTTGATTGAGTTATATACGGAAACCGTTTATTAAATATTATGATAATTAACATAAGTTTTATATGAAAGTTATATATTCTGATAGTTATATATGGAAGTTTGATATACGAATAAATCATTGATATATTAAGTCAAAATCAGATCACAAAATTTATTTAACATTAGTGTTACTATAGTGACACGAATGTTACTATAGTGACGCGAATGTGATTATTTTCCTTAAAATACTCAATACCCAAAATGAAAAATTCTAACATTTCAAATAGTAACCCAAACTCAACCCCTAACACGAATTTTACTATAGTGACACGAATGTGATTGTTTTTTTTTAAAATACTCAATACTCAAAATGAAGAATTCTACCATTTCAAATAGTAATACAAACTCAGCTCCCAATTTCGATTTTACTCTTCAAGTTTACTATGGAATCCATTGACAAAGTTACAGTTGATTCTTTGCATTCAAAACATCTTCACAATTTTGGGATTCAGAAATAGAGTTAAGGTATATAATTTTACATGAAAGTTGATGTTCATTGTAGGGTTTTAAAAAACTTCTATATAATTTATAGTTCAAACTATCCATTTTTTTTTTTACATTCCTAATTTAAAAATTGAGATTCATTATTATATATTTTAATGTGTTATATAATTTGATTTTGTTATTTTCTTTGTTGTGCAAGACATTCGAAATAACTTTGTTGTATGTCTATGAAATAGATCATGTTATTGTGTGATGACTGAAAAGTGGATTTTAGAATTTCGATGTCATGATGTCTTGATTGGTGTTGAGTATCCTAATTCAACTGTCAACGGTATGTTACTACTAGAAATTTTGTAAAATTTTAATTTATGAATCATATTTTCACTATAATTTTTTGAAAATTGATATTACTGTGAAAAACCCTATTGCCTTGTATTTTGTAAAAGTTGATGTGTTACTGAGCACGAACCTTTGATGTTACTGTAAAAATTAAATGTGTATGTTATATAATATACGTCTAAAGGTTTGCAATTGATAGTGTAAGTGAAAATTGGGGTTGAGTTTGTGTTATTATTTGAAATGGTGGAATTCTTCATTTTAGGTATTGAGTATTTTAAGGAAAACAATCTCATTCATGTCACTATAGTAACACTAATGTTAAGGAAATTTTGAATTGTTAAGAAAATTTTGTGATCTGATTTTGATTTAATAGGCCAACGATTTATTCGTGCATCAAACTTCCATATATAACTATCAGAATATATAACTTTCATATAAAATTTCTATTAATTATCATAATATTTAATAAACGGTTTTCATATATAACTCAATCAAGAGTTTCCATATATATCTCAATGATCTAACCTATATGAAGGAGACGGTAAGTTAAACGCCGGTTATTGATTTTCCAAAAAGTAGGGGTATAATAGTAAACTTGACAAAAAATAGACTACAAAACCAAATAAGTTTCTTTGCCGGACTTATCTCCAAATAAGTCCATATTGGGGGACCGACCTCCAAATTTTCTAAAAAATTTTTGTGGTTCAAGTACAACTTGTCACTCAATTTGTAAACATGTTGAATTCCTTTTAAGGATATGATGATAAGATTCAAGAGATTTATTATTATTAAACTTGTAATATTTTACCTTCATTATGTAATTCTCACCCCATAAATAGGGTTGAGTATCATATAATCAAGCATCTTCAATAATACATCGATGTAGTTCATAGGATATTTAGATCCATGTATTTGTGTGTTTTGTTTTCTTTCATTTTATTATTTTCAATCTTTCTCATATTATAAATTTCTTCATAGTATAAGAACATCCATTTGTTGACTTATAGATTGTTAAGTATCATATTCTTCAACATCGTTATAGGCTATAGATGATACTCAGGTAGTTATACCACGAACACATCGTCCCATATGATAAATAGAATTACAATCTCGAATAGGTTGAACACAAGTTACACAAAACCCTAATAATTCCTATTTTTCATCATTAGAGTGACAGCAAGTTTTAGACATGAGGCCTCCCGTTTCACAATGGTTGGAGAGACCCACAAAACCCAAATATTAATTAAATTTGTTGTCTTATTGATCAAGTTTAATAAAATAGAAATGGTGTAACATAAGTATTTATTTATTTTAATATCACTATTTCGTCCAATAATTTGATTCTAACCCTTTTAATTATTATCCTCTTAGCCGAAGAGCAGTAGCAAACATATTTTATTGCTAGCATACGTGCAAGTATGCTTTCCAATTTCTATAAAGAGAGCAATGTTTTTAGGCTTTACATGAATTATTGGACATCTCAAGCTAGCTAAGAGATGGAATTGCCTAATGGAGAGCAATCTCCAGAGCTACTTCAAGTTCAAGCTCACATATGGAACCAAAAATTCAATTGCATAAACTTTGTCACTTAAATGTGCAATTCAACTAGGCATACCAGATGTCATTCATAGCCATGACCGTCCAATGACCCTTTCCGAGTTGGTAGATGCTCTTCCGGTCCACCACACAAAAGCCTAGTTCATCTATCGCCTAATGTGCATCCTAATTCACTCTGTCTTTTTTGTGAAGCAAAATATCTCAGAAAATTATGAAGGAGGTTATTTGTTCACACTGGCCTCTCGGCTCCTCCTAAACTATGAGCCATTTAGCGTGACACCCCTTTTGCTAGCCATGCTTGATCCTATTATGACAAAGCCATGACAACATGTGAGTGAATGGTTCCAAAATGACGATCTCACGCCGTTTTCATACAACTCATGGGTGGACA